AGACATCCTCTGTGCTCCAGCCTGAAGCATCCTCTGTGCTCCAGACAGTCTGAAGCATCCTCTGTGCTCCAGCAGTCTGAAGCATCCTCTGTGATCCTCTGTGCTCCAGACAGTCTGAAGCATCCTCTGTGCTCCAGTCAGTCTGAAGCATCCTCTGTGCTCCAGCCTGAAGCATCCTCTGTGCTCCAGTCAGCCTGAAGCATCCTCTGTGCTCCAGTCAGTCTGAAGCATCCTCTGTGCTCCAGTCAGTCTGAAGCATCCTCTGTGCTCCAGACAGCCCGAAGCGTCCTCTGTGCTCCAGACAGCCTGAAGCATCCTCTGTGCTCCAGTCAGCCTGAAGCATCCTCTGTGCTCCAGACAGTCTGAAGCATCCTCTCTGCTCCAGTCAGCCTGAAGCATCCTCTGTGCTCAGCATCAGTTACCATGGAGATCTAGCCCGCTAAAAAGAGAACCAGCGTCGTAGGACCGGAAACCCCGAGTTTTCCCTGAAGTTAGCCGGCTAAGAGAAAATCCTGCTTCGTAGTATACCCCCCAGCTGTGATGTTCCATGTTGTTGTTTGTTTCTCATGTGTGTTGATGTTTGTCTGTTGATGTTCCATGTTGTTGTTTGTTTCTCATGTGTGTTGATGTTTGTCTGTTGATGTTCCATGTTGTTGTTTGTTTCTCGTGTGTGTTGATGTTTGTCTGTTGATGTTCCATGTTGTTGTTTGTTTCTCGTGTGTTGTTGTTTGTCTGTTGATGTTCCACATGGAGCTGCTGTGATGCAAGGAGCATCTCAGACTTGATCTGACCATTAAAATATTATGGTATTATAATAAGTGCTGAGAGCCTGATGAGATGTGTTTCCCCCCCAGACGTCCCCGGGCAGGTGAAGAACCTTCGGGTCGTGGACACGGCTGACGGAGAGGTAAGTTTAGCGTGGGAGGAGCCAGAGAGCGACGGCGGCAGCAAGATCTTGTCGTACGTTGTGGAGAGGCGCGACATAAAGCGTAAGACGTGGACGCTGTCGACGGACCGCGCCGACGCGCCCGAGTACTGTGTGAGCGGCCTGCAGCGAGACAGCAAGTATCTGTTCCGGGTCTGCGCCAAGAACCGTGTCGGCAGCGGACCGCTCTCCGCCACCGAGGAGGCCGTGCAGGCCAAGAACAAGTTCGGTAAGAAACAGCCCCCCCTTCTTCTGCCTCTCTTATATTTAGATGTATCTTTTCTTGAAAAATCTGACTTTTTTTCCCTAAAATGTTGACTTTTCTCTTATCATTTGGACTTTTCTCAAGTCTCTCACATTCAGAAGTAATTAATAACACCTGTGTGTGCACCATAATGACTTCCTGTTTGTTCCTTCCTTCTCCCAGACGTTCCCGAGGCCCCGCAGAACGTGGCGGTGGGCGTGGTGAACCGTTACGGTGCCACTCTGTCCTGGGAGCCCCCGCTGAAGGACGGCGGCTCGGAGATCACCAACTACGTGATCGAGCTGCGCGACCGCACCTCGGTGAAGTGGGAGGCGGCCATGGTGTGCGCCGCGGTGGACCGCTCGGCCACGCTGAACGACGTTGTGGAGAACAAGGAGTACATCTTCAGGGTCCGCGCCGAGAACAAGGCGGGCATCGGCAGGCCCAGCGCCGCCACCAACCCTGTGAAGATCATGGACCCCATCGGTGAGCCGCCGCACGCTCGTTTAACTTCTGCTGCTGTGTTTCTGTGTACTAACCCCCGCCCCTCTGTGCAGACCGTCCATCCCCCCCCCTGAACCTGAACTACAGCGACCAGGTGCAGACGGCCGTCACCCTCACCTGGGAGACGCCCAGCAGCACCGGAGGCAGCATGATCACCGGCTACATCATCCAGAAGAGTGACGACGGCTCCGACAAGTGGATGCGCTGCAACGCCCGGCTGTGCCAGGACCTGCACTACCGCGTACGACCACTAGCCCTATGTTTACTCTGATTTATCTAGAGAAGGATTAGGACATCTATGAAATGCTTTTGTTAAGTTATAGTTTAAGTCATTTAATACTTTTCTAAGGAAACTTTTTTCTTAAAATTGTGAAATGTTTTCACTTCCTTTGTAAATATTTTCACTTTTCTCAAAATGTTGACTATTTTCACAACATTTCAGGAATAATTTAGCTTTTCGCAAAGATCTGACTTTCTCTAAATTGTGTTTTTTCTCAGAATGTTTGACTTCTGACTTAAATCTCAGATTTCAAATCATTTCCACGTGTCCCTCACGACCTTCTGTACATGAACTTGTCTTTAGAGTAGAAGTGAAAGGGGGTTCTCCTCCAGCTTTTTGGTTCTCTCTTTCTGTTGTTTACTCTCCTGGTTCTGGTTCCTCTCAGGTGTCGGGTCTGAAGCCGGGTCAGAAGTACCTTTACAGAGTTTCTGCTGAGAACGCCGCCGGACTCTCCGACCCCGCGGAGCAGCTCGGCCCCCTGCTGGCCGACGACCCACACGGTACCTGAAGATATACAAATTGAACAATAAGATAGTCAAATAAATTGTATAAATTTCATGAACATTGTATAAGATGCACATTAAAAAAAAGAGAACAATGAGAAGGGGAGGGTTTCAATGTTTACTGTTCCCTTATTGCAAATGTTTTCTACTCCCTGTAATTGCAAGTCTATCTCATTGTAACTGGTGAAATGTTCTCAACTGTCTTCTAAATAAAGAATTGTTAAAAAAAAGGGAAGATATTTAGATATTTCAGATATTCAGTAAAAGTATCAATCTAAATCTCCCCCCCTGTGTCCTCAGTGGGTCCCCACTTCGACCTGAGTGGCTTCAGGAACGGTCTGGAGGTCATCGTGCCGCAGCCCCTCACCATCAGGGTGCCGATCACCGGGTACCCCACGCCCCTCGCCAAGTGGACGTTCGGAGACAAAGAGCTGAGCACCGCCGACGAGCGCGTCTCCATGACGACCAAACCAACCTTCACCGAGCTGATGGTGTCCCCGAGTGTCCGCCCGGACAAAGGAACCTACAGCCTGACGCTGGAGAACGACGTGTGCTCCGTCAGCGGAGAGGTGGAGGTCAACGTCATCGGTAACTTCACAATGAGATGCTCATTCACACAATGCATGCTCCAATGCATGCTGGGTAGACCTTCCAAAGGGTAGATTCTCCAAAGGGTAGATTCTCTAATGCAAGCAGGGTAAATCCCCGGGTGATGGATGTCAACTGCAGAATAAAATACTCAACAACATTTCAATTCTGCATTTCAGAATAAACTCAAGATTTTAAAATGATAAATAATAATACAAACATTATATATATATACAAGTATTCATTTATTGTTCCCTTCCTTTTTTCCCCCAGCATGCCCTAGTGCCCCCAAGGACTTCAAGGTGGCGGAGGTGACGCGTCACCACGTTCACCTGATGTGGGAGGTGCCCGAGCACGATGGAGGAAGTCCTGTCACTCACTTCCAGATCGAGAAGAGAGAGGTGTCCCGCAAGACCTGGGCCAAGGTACCCCTGAGACCCTGACCCTGACAACAGGCTGCATGTTCATTCATTTTAAAGTGCAGATGTAAAGAAACGTGCACAGCCTGCAAAACATCCAGGACAAATAAAGACTGTGGCAGGTCCAGATGCTTCAAGAAGGATAATGTTTACTATTTTTTCAAAGTTCAAACTTTCTCTCTGCATTTCATAAAATTCCCCAAACAATATCTCAATTTCTTGACTCTTCTCAAAGTTCCGGCTTTTTCCTAAGTGTTATTTCCTCACTGACGCCTCCTGATTTTCCTCCAGGTGGCGGCGGGCGTGCTGGACCTGGAGCACACCATCACAGACGTGGTGGAGGGGAAGGAGTATCTGTTCAGCGTCACCGCCTGCAACAAGTGTGGACCGGGAGAGCCGGCATACATCGACGAGCCCGTCAACGTGTCCTCGCCCGCCAGTGAGTGGCTGAGCATCACACAGACCCAACACAAGCTTTCTCTGATATAGCCTCAGACATCAGTCCTCTTCAGACTCACCATATGAAGGCCTTTCCAACATTGAACCGTGTTTGAACCCTGAGTCACTGCCTGACCTGCGTTATCTCCCCTCCCCCACACAGCTATTCCCGATCCTCCGGAGAACCTGAAGTGGCGCGATAAGAGCGGAAAGTCCATCTTCCTGTTCTGGGAGCCATCGAAGTACGACGGAGGCGCTCCCATCAAAGGCTACGTTGTGGACAAGTGTCAGCGCGGGACGGATAAGTGGGAGCCCTGCGGAGAGCCCATCCCTGAGCTGAAGTAAGAACTGTTTCCTGCTGTTTACCCTCCTGTCTGCAGCCAGGTCAAAGCCTTCTAATAACTGTGTGTTTCTCTCTCAGGATGGAGGTGACCGGGCTGATCGAGGGCCAGTGGTACGCCTACAGGATCCGAGCCTTCAACAAGCTGGGTGCCAGCAGACCTTGCAGGGCCACCGACGAGATCCAGGCCGTGGACGCCAGAGGTGGGAGGGGTTTTGAATCAAAGCAGGAAGCATGGGCAGTTATGGAA